AAGTGTTCATGAGGAGTGGTCAATTTATACTGCTCAAAGGACTGATTAACTTTCTCATTAGAATTCTAAAATGCATAACTTGATAGTGAAACCTTTAGAATGAAACAGAAATTCCTCAACAGAGGTGGCACAAGATCCCTTAGGGGACAAGAGCCACACATGTTCTATAGAATTTATGTTTTTCCCTTTCTCTTGGCTTTTCTTGCTTTCTTTTCTCAGGTATAGGGATAGTAACCAGGGCCTTGCATATGTTAGGTAACTGATCCAACATGAGCTACACACTCATCACTGAATTTTTTATTTACAGCAAAATATGTAGTGTTTCATTACAATGATGTAAGTAATATCTGTCTATGGGAAAATTAGTTATGCTCTTTTTCTCATTTCTGGTAGTCACATGCATATGGAACCAGGGAATGATACTCAACATTTAGAATTCCTTCTTCTGGGACTTGCTGAGGACCCAGAACTGAAGCCCCTCATCTTTGGACTTTTCCTGTCCATGTACCTGGTYACTGTGCTGGGGAACCTGCTCATCATCCTGGCCACCATCACAGACTCCCACCTGCACACACCCATGTACTTCTTTCTGTCCAACCTGTCCTTTGTGGACATCTGCTTTACCTCCACCACCATCCCCAAGATGCTGGTGAACATCCAGACACAGAGCAAGGCCATTACCTATGCAGACTGCATCACCCAGATTCACTTTTTTATACTCTTTGGTGGGTTGGATGACTTCCTTTTGAGTGTGATGGCCTATGACCGGTTTGTGGCCATCTGTCACCCCCTGAACTACATGGTCATCATGAACTGCAGGCTCTGTGGATTGCTGGTTCTGGTGTCCTGGGTTGTGAGTTTCCTACATGCGTTGTTACAAAGCTTAATGATGTTGCGGCTATCCTTCTGCACAGAATTGGAAATCCCACACTTTTTCTGTGAAATTAACCAGGTGGTTCAGCGTGCCTGCTCTGACAMCTTTCTCAATGAGGTGATGTTATATTTTGCTGCTGTCTTGYTGGGAGGTGGCCCCCTCATTGGTATCCTTTACTCATACTGCAAGATCGTGTCCTCCATCCGTGCAATCTCATCAGCTCAGGGCAAGTACAAAGCCTTCTCCACCTGTG